TTGTCAGAGGGGTGGCTCAAGGAAAGAAAAGGTGTTCAGGGTGTCCTTGCAGTCAGCTGAGCAGGGTCTGTGGGCAGCCAGCATGGCTGAAACCCATCCTGGGGCTACTCTAAATACTGCTCTGACCTTGGAGTAAGACAACAAATATAAAATCAGAAATACAGAGATAAAAGCAGAGTAGAGTCTTTTTTATATGGATCCATTTTTTCATGCCCCACAAAACAGCAAGTCAAGAAGTTCTGGCAGCAGCAAGCCAAGAGAGCATTGATCTTATTCAGCATGTTTTTACTTGCTTTTAGAAGTAATATGGGTAGATAATGATAGTACAGAAAGCACTGATTTGTAGCGTAAGATTGCAAAACAAACCCTTTTTACCAGTTAAGGATGACATGCTGTATTAAGAGCTTTTTGTTTGACTCCACTCTCAAAAAAACTTGAACCACAAGGCAGAGAAAAAAACGTGAGGCCAGGAGTTGACAGCCTGTGATACACCCAGACATTTACAGATGTTTTTCTGAAATGAACTGTCCATTCTGAAAAATACTTTGCAATGCTGTATGATGACCAGTTACTGAGATGTACCTCCAGCATTTCATAATGACTAATTGGCAAAGGGAGCATCATAACTGAGAGGACAACCACTGTGATTTATGCTTGAACTGGAACAAAAGAAAGTGAACTAAATATTCAAATAATACAGCTTGAATTTATCAGAGTTCTTAGTCGTGTATGGTTTACAATAGAAAAGCTTCCTTTAATAGTTTATAGAATGTGCTTGAAAAAATATAATGTAAGCACAGACATTATCTTTTGATGTAAGGTCATCTATTAATAACCTCAGACAAGAGTCACAGTCAGCTCACACAGAAAATCTATCATCAACAGCAAACACACACCAGAAAACCCCTTCTGTGTCACTTGTTTTAAAGCCAGCAGATCATTAAAGCATAGGAAACAACCACAGGAAACCACCACCACCTCTGCTGAGAAGTCTTTGCAGACACTGCCACATTTACATCTTGTTTCCACTTAGAGGAGTTACTCCAGTAACACTGTAGTGATTATTAACATAATTAAAGCAATGCAATTTCTATTCAGTAAACATGAGAATGCTAAAATTTGAAGATATGCATGTGGCTGTCACTTGCTCTGTTGAGAAATAAAGTTTTATTTTTAGCTCCAGTGCCTACATTTTCTTGCAGCTATTTTAACAGATGAACTGCCACCAGAAATATTCTCTCACTGGGCCCTGATGCAGAATGATATAAATAACCTTTACAAAGTCCAGCATAATGGAATGGCAAAATCAGTTGACATTCTCCTAATTAGCACTGCCTGAAGATTTACCTACACAGAATAGGAAGAGCCAAATTCACCCCTGAAATAAATCCACTGAAGTCACTGATGTCAGAGGAAGCACACTGGGAATGGACTTGATCAAATAGATCTGTTATTTACATTAAACACAGAGCAGCTTCTTGCCTGTAGCATATACATGGCTGGAGGTAAATGAAAAAAGTATTTTGATTTATTAAAGAAAATTCTATTGTGTGATATATACACCACTTCTTTGCCCCAGAAATAGCAAGTTAGCCAAATGTGACCGGGTGTACATGACAGATCTTCTCTACACTGCATCTAATAGATCAGGGGTGGAAAGTACTCATCAAACCAGTGGATGCTAAACTCCTTTCTACAGCAATCTCTCAACTAACAATCAAAAAACTCAGCAGTAGCAGTACTCCTAGTGGAACCCCATCCAGCAAAGCAATTAAGTGCTTGCATAACTGTAAGGACATGAGTAGCTTCAAATTTTGATCTGTATTAAAGTTTATTGCCAGATTTAACTGTCCTGCATCTCAATATTTTTGACTAAACATGTGTGAAACTACTTAATTGGAATATGTAGTTTAATCTCTCCCCCCTGCCCCAATAAATCAATGAAAAAAATGGGTCACGTTAGTCCTGCTATAACCCCCATCCTGGCTCATGTTCCTAATCTGTAGTCTTCTTATTTATTGTTATACAAACAGCTTTTCTTTTCCATTTAAATTAACAAAGTAATGGTTTTCAGACAAAATGAACACTCAGAGGAGTGTTCCTTATTGCTCTCTACAACTACTTGAGGAGGTCATAGCAAGGTCTTCTTCCAAGTAACAAGTGACAGGGTAAGAATGGCCTGAAGTTGTGCCAGAGAAGGTTCAGATTGGGTATTAGGAAAATTTTCTTCATGAAATGAGGTATTCCAAGCATTGGAACAGCTGCTCAGGGAAGTGGTGGAATCACCACCCCTGGAAGTAGTTAACAGACCTGTAGATGTGGCACTTGGGGACATGGTTTAGTGGTGGGCTTGGCAGTGTTGAGTTTATGGCTGGACGTGATGTTCTTAATGGTTTTCTCCAACCTAAACAACGCCCTGAAGGATCACATGTAGATATAAGTGCCCCAAGTTTTTGGAGCCGAAATGGTCACAAGTACCTCACTCAGTTCACTGAGTCATTTTCCTAGAAAGAGACTGACATGGAAGCAGGGTATCTAAATACAGCCAATAACACCTGAATCACTGGTATCCAAGTTTATTTTGTGATTGCTGTATGCTCAGACATCCTCTTTATTCCCACTTCCAATTCTTCAGCCCTGCAGACAGGTAACACGGAATATTCAGTGCCACAGGTTATTTTTAACCTGATCAGCAGAGGATCTACCTGACTGCAGGGATGCTGCCTGGAGAGTTTGAGCTTGCCTGACAGGGGATCTCAGCGTGAAATACTGTCTAGTTACTGCTCCTTGGAGCATGAGCTCTCTTCACTGGTACAGCACAAAGACAAGGGAAAGTTGGGTGCACGACTAAAGCTGAGCCATTTTTCTAATTATTGTATCCTTGTCTGTCTCCTTCTTTTGAGAGAAACTTTTGGAGAAATGTCAATCACCCAGCAAATTTTTAATCTGCAAGCCCCTCCTAAACTGACCAGAGAGTATAAATGAGGGCCAGCCAAGCAGATCTGGGCACTGCAGAATGAAATCCATGCACACTTCAAAAGGGACAAAGCAGTCTTGTTTTGCAGGATGTTTGGATTTTTCTGATTCCAAAGGGATTTATGGATACCTTATAAGCAGGAACTGCTTGATTCATTTTGAGTTTTATTCAGATGGAAGAAATTTAAGGTTACCTTTGTTTCTGAGGGGGAGGGGAGAGCAATAAATATTATGTCTATTTGCTCTGCTAACAGAAGGCATCAAAGTAATGAATCATGTAAAGGACTGAAAGGGAAGAAAATAATACAATATTTCAGTATTTTCTATCTTTACTGTGCCTTTCTTGAAAGTTTTTTGCTTATTTTGCAGAGACTGCCATTAATATTTTTTCCAGGCTAGCAGTTCCACATATACATATTCCACTACACCATCAAGTTTCCCCTGCAGAATACACCAGCTTCTTTCCCACCTCCCCTCAGACCCCATTTTTTGAATTTTCTGAACTGTCACAATGCCTCACTATTAGTTCATTAAAATGAATGAACACCTGTTTTGTGTTTTTTATTCCACTTAAATAAATAAACCTCTAGCAATATAGACATATATGCATACATTTACATGCTTGTATATACATATATGTATAAAAATCACTCTTCAAATTCAGGCTATGTGAGGTGAGCTTGTGGGCATGGGCCAAAAAGCAGATTTACAATTTTTCTGCCCCACTTGGTATTCTAGAGACACAGGGACTCTCCTGAATGCAGGTGCAGGGAGCTCAGGCTCACACTACTACACTGCAAGCATCTACACCTACTGCAGGGTGAGCCAGGCACGAGAGGTTTTTGGAGACTGACTCAGTCTCCAAACCCTCAATGCAGGCACACCCTGCACTTCTCTAGAAAGCAGGAGTGTCCTTTTCTTAATGTCCTTAACAGCATTACAGACACTGCACTGGTGTCCTGGTTTTGCATAACCACAGCAAACTGATCATCTCAAGGAGCTGCTACAGTGCTCCAAGTACCAAATTGATATAAATGCCCCAGAGGGATCCAAACCCAGCTCTGTTATCCCAAACTGTGTAATGCTACCGTGTCCTTCATAAAAACACCCACCAAGTGCCCTTTTAAAGTGCAAAACTAGAGTCAGGCTGAGAGGGAGCGCTCAGGCTTTTATGTGACCAACTGAATTGTCACCAATATCAGCTACGAGGCTCAGAAAGGGAGGCAGCACCTCTTGTTTTCCCTCTCATTTGCTGAATTACAGATGATCACTGGACCGTGGCAGGATATTGAGGGAGGAAAAGCACAACATGCAGAGAAGTAGGTGAGGAGGCACCATAAGTGGCTGTAATGGAATTCAAACCTGTCAGAGAGGCGGTGTAAGTCAGATAATTGCAGGAGGATCTGGGAAGAGGAGATGAAAGGAGACTAAGCAAGGGGAAAAGGTAGGAAAGGGGAAAAAAGCAATGGAAAAAAGTGAGAAAAATTAAGGAGAAGGAATAGAAAATGCAAAGAAAAGGGGAAATTTATTTTTTCCCTCGCCATCTCCTCCCGCACATCCCTCCAGTGCAATTCTGGAACTGAGAATTGCTTCTTCCTAGAAGAAGACAGCGGACTCCCCCATTCTGAAGCAGGACAAAAAGGGCTGTCTGCACTTTTATGACATCTCACCACAGACACGTCTCTAGTGCTGAAGCACGAGGGTGCAGGGTTTGCAGTCAGCAGTGGCTTTTGCTGCAGGAGCAGTCCACAGGACCCACACAGAGAAGCCAAATTTTACCAACAGGTTCCGGGTGCAAAGCACCTGCAGATTTTCACACGCCTCACAGAAAAGGAGCACAAACACAGTGACTCCTTTCCCAAGGTAAATTATCATTAGAAGTGTTCAACAGAGTATCACGAAAATTATTTCCTTGGCAAGTTTCTGATGTTTTCAGGAAATGCAGCAAGCTGCTGAGCTTCTGTTCTAACATTTCTGTTGGATGAATTCTTCTCTGCACTGACAACAATGTTTGCATATCCTCACAGAGCGCTCTGATATCTGCAGAGGCAGACATCCTTCATGCACAGCTGAATGGGTGGTTGCAACAAAATTAAGATTGGATAGGACAGGTGACCAAAAACTGGTCAAGAGGTAAGAACACACCAGTGAAAGCACATTTATAAAGATATGACTCTCTGAACACACAGTGCTGAAAACATTTTTCACTGTATTTTCAAGGAGATGACCCATGTAAATTGGATATTTCCTTATTATCCTTCCCCTAGCCCACATGAAGAAGTTATTTAAGTATGTTAAGCGTATTTTTATAAAATTTTTCAGTGTCAAACAGCTGCAGACAGCAATATGTACCTTTTGCAGAATTAAGGCAAAAAAATAAGAAGACAACTGTCTTCTGAAATTAGTTAAGAACTAATTCATGGCTATTTGAGCTTCAAAAATGAACCTCAATGATCTGACCAGTCATTTGGAGTATAATTATTGTGAAGGACAAGAAACATGGTCCTACCAGTTTCTTTTATTAACAAAAAAATGCTGCCCTTCTTTTCTGATCTTTGCAGCACATGAATGGATTGAAAGCATTATTTCAATAGATAATGTGTCTGTATCATTATCATTCTGGTCAGTGTCTTCTGAGCATATCCAGGAAAAAACCCCAAGTATGCAAATTCAAGACACAGATTATTAAAAAGACCAAACTAATGACTCACATTTTCATTACTCAAGCAAAATAGTATTTGCAGTATTGTCAAATGTGATAGTGGCAAATATGAAGAACCCTGCCCTGCATTTACAGCAGGATGATATTCTTAAAACATGCCAGTCAACTTTCTGAAGACTAATTGTTAGCTGAAGTGATCAGATCACAAACTTCTTTAGAGAGAGGTTTGTGCTATTCCAGGATATCTGATGGTACACTGACTTTTCCTAGAAGATTTGTTTATGCTTACAACAGAAAATAACTCTAATGGCTTCTTCTTGGTTTTTTTTTTTTGTTTGGTTGGGTTTTTTTTTTGTTTGTTTGTTTGTTTTTGTTGGTTTTTTGTTTTTGGCTTTTCTTTTCACTGAGCATTGACAGACATGCCTGAGAGACTACAATTGTTTCAAAGCTGGATATGGACTGGGATACAAGCAGAGGCAGCAGACAAATGATAATCAAAGTGAACCATTCAGCATCCTGATGAAGTTGAAAATTAGGACTGTTTACATAAGTCAGAACTTATTTGCATTTCCTGACATTTCAGGTCTCTTTATCCCTCGATTGAGCATTTCTTATATAACAGATTAATGTATTGAATAAAAAGATAACAAAAAAGCAAAGCATCCTTTAGCCATGTTAGTGGTACCTGTAGTTTGGGCAGATTGCTTCCCTGCTCTTAACTCTGCTTCAAGAACATATTTGGTGATATATACACTGGGATAAAGCTTTTGAAGAGTGTTCAAAACTGAATGTTCAAATACTTTACACAGGCCCAGCTGAAATTTTATACACAGTACAGGCAGATTCAAATCTTGCATGTCTGAGTAAGCAGCATTCATAAACCACTTTATAAACATATTTTCAGAAAACCTTTAGAACTTGTACTCCTTATCCAAACTAGCATTATGAATAGGGTTTAATAGGTGTAATAGGCATTCAAATAACAGTTTCTAAATTACCTGGTTTCACCATATTTTCAAATTATTCTCCCATTTAGTGACTCTCTCTGATTTCAAAATCAAATAGAAGTTATCAGAGTTAGAATTACACACCTACTGACTACTGCTTTTAGTAGTATATCTGGAATTACTATAAGGACTATAAGGACTGATATTTATCAATGACAGTAGCTCCAATAGCAAGGAGATCTCCCATTTTTTTTCCTGCCCTGCCCAAGTCCGTGTTTTCCTGCAGGACTAGAGGAACAAATCTCACCAATTTCCTTTAAGTGCACAAGTCACAGAGACGAAATGTCTTTCACTGCCTGATAGGCTGGGATAGCTTTGGTGCCAATTCCTCCTCTCCATGACAGCAGGGAGGGAAGGTATTAAACCACCAGCAGTTTAGAGAACCCAGGAGGTTGTAACACCAACGTGAGGTGACTCTCAGCAACACACCAAGCTTGCTTTACCTCCACAGGACCTAAGTGCTGCCCACACTGAGTCTGCTCCAGACCCTGCAGGCATTTGCAAACCCATTCCCTTGTACCACCTTGCCCCTCACCCTCATAGCCAGGTCTCACTGAGCCTTGGAAGAGCCCAAATTTTGACATTTTTTAATTTTGACATTCTAAAGCAAAATAAGCCACTGTTCATTTACAAATAAATCCATTTTCATATCAGTGCTGTCTGCAACTTCAGGCAGGGATTTTACCGAGCTTTCCCCTGCAACACTGCAATGGAGAAAGAGCAACACCAGACTCATGAAGTTGAATGAAACAAAATGCCATTAAAAACTTAACTGCTGAGACAACATTAGATCAAAGCTGACCAAAGAAAAACACAAGTAATGGTATTAATTTAACAAGTTTGTTTCAGAATAATACAACCCAAATAATAGGGAGATGTCTCTCTATAAAATCCTCTCTCCAATTTCACTGTAACACACTTATAGTGCGGCAGAAAACACAGTAAAGATACTGTAAACTCTACTAATTAACAGGACCTAATTAACAGTGTATAGGGAAGGCAGTACATAGAAGCAAAAATACTAATGGAGCAACATGGAAATAGAAAATGATTGTTCCAAGGCTACATGTCCCCAACTTTGATAAACTCCACCAGCATCAGCAATCGAGGTGCTGAATGCAAGTCAGACTTCAATCTGCTCCTGTTGTGGCCAGCAGGAAATGTGTCTCCAGATTCCCTCAAAGCCATGGAGGACAGGGCACTGCTCACTCCTCACCTCTCAACAGCACTCAGGCACAACTCAAGTGCTAAAAAAAAAGGCCTAAAACCAGCATTGGAAATCTCATAAACAACCTTCAAAGTAAATATTTTACCAGGCATAAGTAAGTACTTATTAAGATTTAGATCGTATCTTCAGTGTCCTTGACATTTTACAATAGTGTTTATCTCCCTTGTTTGCTAATTCACAGAATTGGATAATCTACAAGAAATTTACACATTAGAAATGAGCAGGGTTCTCCAGCAGGACTTCATAAATATGACATTAGCACAACAATGCTCTAATATAAACATACACAATGCTAAATAGGAGCAAAGCATTTCCTGGGGGCAGAGGAGGCCCTGCTTGCCACTGAATAAACTCTGTGGGAGAACCTGCAGGGACCCCAGGAGGGGAAGGGACCCAGCTTGTCCCGTGGAGCATCAGGGAAAGAGGCTGGGAATTAGGTCAGTGAATCCCAGTCGCATCAGCCCAGCACTCTGCTCAGGGATGGGAGATGAAACAATTTCAAGGCTAAACCATTTCTATGAAGATAGTGGGATTCTGTCTACCATGTGGACATTGTTTTCCAATGAATTAAAAACACACGAGTAGTCTGTGCATTGTGACTATTTATAAAGTCCAACATGAAGCTTGTATTCCCAGTTATCAGCACTCACATGTAAAATGAAAGTAAATCCCATTATAATGAAAAATTCTATTTTTACCTGGTCACTAATGGGACATAAAAATCAGACTGAGACATTATTTCATAAAGACATATAATGTTTCCAACAAAAATGTATAAAAATTAAACTGTGGGTTTAAAGACTCCTCCATAATGCGAGGGGGATAGTTTTGGAGAATGCACACATTGTAAGCAAATGAGGGCTTTTGTTGTCCTGTTAAGGATGTCAGAGGCATTTGCTTTTTTTCCCTGACTCATCCTTTTCCTTAGTGGGTACTCTGACCCTTAGTCCTGGCAAATCCATCAGCACCAAAAAGTTCTCTCCGGTACCTCATTAATCACTCCCCTGCCGTGTGCTATCTTACCTGCAGATGTAATTCTTCTTGCAGGACTCTTGTAAATTCAGGCAGTTTGGTTTCTCCCTGTCCTCATATGAGCACACAGGAACAATAGTCTGCCGCCGCCTCTCTGTACAGGCTACGTCTCGACAGGAGCAGAAGAGCATCCCGTAGCTGTGCTTTGGGGGGACCTTGTCAAAAAATAGCCGCAGGGCCTTATGACACTTCCTCTTGTTACAGATCTCATTGGACGTGCTGCTGGTGCAGGGGGTTATGTAAGCAGATCTGAACCTCTTGCAGGTATCATTTAGGTTACAAGCTTTGGCTGCATCCAAGCAATTGTTCCCCTTTGAAAGTACTGGCTCCACTAGAAAAAACAACACAACAGCAGTGAGAAAGGCGTCACATTTACACTTTGTGCTTTGTGGTTATTTCACTGTTAACGAGATCCTGAATACATATATTTGTTACATACAGAGATTTCAGTGCCAGAAACTGGGACCAGTCCTGTTTCTGGGGGTAATGGTTGAACAAGTGAACAAGAGCATGGGCATGCCATGAAGGCAGAATGGTGGTGAATAAATGACACTGTGGGCAGGCTTTACTTCATCTTCTTCATAGCAGACATGCAGGGTGAGTATTGGGTAAGACTTGGTCTCACTAAACAGCTCTTAATATCCCTGGTAAATTGGAAAGCACACATCTGGCATAAGAACACAGTGAGAACATGGGCTCCTAACTCGGGTTTTGTAAAACTGACATTTCCCAGTTATTTCCCTTGAACAAGTTAAATGACATGCCATGCCTACCCCAGGTGACAACATTTAAAAGTAATCTGTGTACTGTGCAGAAAGTAAAGTAGACATGCCCATTACTACATTTTTTGAGGTCTGAGGACAGCCCACCCAGATAGGAAGGAAATCAGGTGCAGCCTCATGTCTGGGAGCTCTCTAAGGCCACCCACAAGTTCCATGCTTAGGTAAAATACTGTTATAAGATCTACAGATGACACCTGAACCCTGTAAAATTTAGAAACTTTACAAACTTTGAAGAAGTTGACATAAAATTAAAAAGTGACTGTAAAAGAAACATTTGAAAACAAGGATATCCCCTTCTTACACACACACACACACACACACACACACACACACTACAAGAAATTAAAGTAAAAATTAAACTCAGATGTAAGTTAAGGCTATAATTACACATTTAATTTCTCAATACATTACCCAGATATTAAAACCCAATAGATGCTTTGCTTGAAAACTAAGGCAACTGGCATCAGATTGCAAAACTCAATTAAGAATAACTGTAATGCTGCTTTGAATGTTAGGAATGCCAACATCAGAGATCCAAGAAAATACATTAATTTCCCACTGCTACAGAATTTGCAAGCTGAACAAAACATTTTGCAAATATCTAAAATCTGCTGCAACCTCTTGGGGGCAGGGGCTGGCCGAAGATAAAACATTTTAAATGATCCAAAGCTCTAAATTACTCTTACAAAAAGCCTTTTTCTCCTAGATTGTTCACCTTTACCCAGAAACTCAGTCCAAGGTCCTTCTACAACTCCCTGCCACTCATCTCCATTCTCCTACCACACTGCCTGCCATTCCCAAAACAGGACATCAACCTTTTATCTTTTTCCACTGCAGGAAAACACGGAGCAGCTGGGCTGAGATGCTGCACTGAGGTGCTGCATTTGTTGGAACACACTGTGCCCAAGATGGGCCTTGGCTACTTGCACAGTAATTTCCCATTATTCAAGTAGATCACCTGCAACTGTCCCATGCATCTTACCTACCCAAAAATAATACAAAGGTAAGGAGCATTGGATTTATGTTTCACTCTAGCAGCGTGCTGGAACTGTGTTCAGTCTGATTGTACATTTAATCTTTGTAATTCAACAATCACACCCCAAGCCCTTCCCAATCTCAGCTACTTGCACAACAAAATGACAACTTCTGCATCTTATCTTCATAAATTACAAAACTGTAAATATGCAACATTTGACTATAAATTAAGAGCCCAGCATTTCTTATAACAGCAGCCTACAACAGATTATGCAACACCAGATGCAACCCTCTCATAAAATCGTAACATTTGTATATAAAATGTTGTACTACATTAGCATATAACTATAATATTAACTATGAACTCTCAAAGTTTTTTTATACAGTATATAGAATTATATGTTTAGTACAAATATAATTACTATGTAATCTGCAGGGCATATAATTATGCAATATATGAATAGTATATGCTAATTACTATGTGATTGCAGAGTAATTACATGGTTATTTGTGCCTGGGAGTCAACTGCTGAATTCCACTATTTAAAACAAAATTCTGTGGAACAGCTCTGAATGGGGTATTGCAATATGAGCAGACTTCAGCTTACAGTATTCATATATGCTGCTACAGAATTAAAA